GCCTGAATTTTGCCTGAAACTCTCAGACTGAAGAAGTCTCTTGGAAGAGAGACGAAACGTTTCATTAAAGAAGAACCCGTCCAGAGGACCTATTCAATTTTTTTTCCTTTTGATTTTTTACCTGGATTACTGAGATGCATCGGGTTTAGAATATATTTTCTTGGTTCATGACAGACCYGGGCTGGCCCATAAATGAGYGTCGGCCCACTGGGCATTGCCCAGTACACCAGATGGCCAGTCCAGCCCCGTCACTGACTTACACTCCATGGTTCTACTGTGCTATCTTCTTTAATAAAAATTTAAGTCTTTGTGKCTTGCTCGATTAGTAATTTATGAATGGCTAAAGGCAGCTGAAGTAAAAGCTTTTCTTTGCAGCCATTTCATAGAATTGTTTTGTGAAGCATGTCTTTGTTTTTAATTTAGTTTTACACAAAACTGTTGTATTCTCATCTCCTTTTATCTATGAGCTCAGCAAGATATCTTTAGCAAACGGCATGAACAAATCACTTGCGCTCCTTGCCTGCTGGTCATCACCAGCACATGAGGACACATGCGAGGAAATCACAGCAGCTGAACAAAGGCCAGAGAAAAAACATACTCATAAACAGCCGGGACATGACATCCAGTCACATCCACAGCACCAACTCACACCGAGAATTGTCTCTAAAATCTGATTACATAAGTACTTGTTCAAGATTAGATAAACTTGTAAGGGCAAATGTAAGCCAAAGAAATCGGAAGCCTTTCTAGCTCTCACTGTTAGATAAAAATTTCTCTCTCATCCTCATTTCTTTTTTTCCCTTTTTCACCTGTTTTAAGTTTGCATCTTGATTATTGACTTTATCCTCTTTTTGTCACAGTGCGATGTACTTGTTTGGTGGCTTCAACAGCCTGCTGCTGAGTGACATCCTGATGTACACCTTGCCCAGTTGCTCAGCCTTTTCCAGCTCGGAGTCCTGCAGTCAAGCCGGGCCTGAGATTCACTGCATGTGGAACAGCACCCAGGGGAGCTGCCTGCCTTGGGAGAGTGGTAGTGTCGGTCTGGAACAACAGCAGGTCCCAGCCTACTGCAGCACAAGATCAAGTAGGTGATGTAAACTGTGGGAAAATGCTGCAGTTACACAGGTTTTCTTTTCTCAAAATGGGATGTCTGATAAGATACATCAATAGAAAATTCAAAGGTTCAAAACATTTGACCTTAAAATTACAAATTAAAACAAAATAATAATCTGAACAAAACAATTCTGACACTTTGTAGCTGAAAGGTGCTCTAACAAGGGTTTGAGGGTCAGGATAAACAAGGACTAACTGTAAAAATGTAACTAGTAATGAACTACTCATCTTTTTCAAAAAAATATATTTGTAAAGATATCCACAAATGTGGACAAAATTGTTGGTACCCCTCGTTAAATGAAAGAAAAACCCACAATGGTCACAAAAATAACTTGAATATGACAAAAGTAATAATAAATAAAAATTCTATAAAAATGAACAAATGAAAGTCAGACCTTGCTTTTCACCTATGCTTCAACAGAATTAAAAAAAAAATCAAACTCATGAAACGGGCCTGAACAGAAATGATGTTACCCTTAACTTAATATTTTGTTGCACAACCTTTTGAGGCAATCACTGCAATCAAACCATTCCTGTTACTGTCAATGAGACTTCTGCAGCTCTCATTTTAGTCCACTCCTCATGAGTAAACTGCTCCAGTTGTCTCGGGTTTGAAGGGTGCCTTTTCCAGACAGCATGTTTCAGCTCCTTCCAAAGATGCTCAGTAGGATTTAGGTCAGGGCTCATAGAAGCCCACTTCAGGATAGTCCAGTGTTTTCCTTTTAGCCATTCTTGGGTCTTTTAAGCTGTGTTTTGGGCCATTATCCTGTTGCAAGACCCATGACCTGCGACTCAGACCAAGCTTTTTGACACTGGGCARCACGTTTCCCTCTAGAAACCCTTGATAGTSTTGAGATTTCATTGTACCCTGCACAGATTCAAGACCTCCTGTGCCAGAYGCAGCAAAGCTGCCMCAGAACAACAGAGCCTCCTCCATGTTTCACAGTAGGGACAGTGTTGTTTTCTTAATATGCTTCATTTTTCCCTTTGTGAACATAGAGCTGATGTTGCCAAAAAGTTTCATTTTTATCTCATCTGTCTATAGAATAATTCTCCCAGAAGCTTTTTGACTTTTCAACCTGTAGTTTGGCAAATTCCAGTTGGGCTTTTTTATGATTTGGTGTCCTCCTTGATTGTTTCCCATTAAGTCCACTTTGGCTCAAACAATGATGGATGTTCTGATCTGACACTGATGTTCCTTGAGCTTGAAGTTCACCTTTACTCTAATTTAGGAGTTTTTCTGGTCTCTTTTGTTTCCCTTCKTATTATTCGTCTCTTTGATTTGTCATCAATTTTCCTCCTGAGGCCATGTCCAGAGAGGCTGGCTACAGTCCCATGGATCTTAAATTTCTGAATAATATGTRCAAMTGTAGTCACAGGAACATCAAGCTGCTTGGAGATGGTCTTATAACCTTTRCCTTTAACAWGCTTKTCTATAATTTTCTTTCTAATCTCCTGAAACAAMTCTTTCCTTCYCTTCCTCTGGTCCATGTTGAGTGTGGTCCACACCATGTCACCAAACAGCTCAGTGAGTATCTGCAGGCCTATACAGGCTCACTGACTGATTACAAGATTGTAGACACTTGTGATGATAATTACTGGACACAAAAAAATTAATGTGTCCCTTTGGTTATATTATTTTCAGGGGTACCATCATTTCTGTCCAGGCCCGTTTCATGAGTTTTTTTAAATTTTTTTCTAATTCTGTTAAAGCGTGGTTAAAAGCAAAGTCTGTCTTTCATTTGTTTAGTTTTATTTGTTATTACTTTTGTCACATTCAAGTTATTTCTGGGACCGTTGTGAGTTTTTCTTTCATTAAACGAGGGCTATCAACAATTTTGTCCATGTGTCACAGTCACACTTGTTGTATGACGCCCCTCCATTACTTTGCTTAGCTTTCATTGTATTTTTTATTAGTGTTAATATAATTTAAATGTCAAAAATAAGAGGAAAAAATAGAACGTGTGCTGACATTTCAGCTGAAGACTGTTGGCTCTTCGCACAGATTAGTCAGTCTTTAAATAGTCTCTGACTGTTCATAAATCACAGATGAAGCYGGTCACGTCAGACATAATTTAAGTGTTTTGAAATGAAGAAATTAAATAGAATTCAGAAATTAAGCAAACTAAAGTGGAGTGTGATGCAAAAAATGTGACAATTGTCTCACTTGTCATTTACAAACTGAAATGATTTAGCTCACTGATGATTCTCGTTGTGATTAACTATTTTATTTGAACTATGAAGTTGCTGTGCAACGTCCTCGATCTTCCCTCAGAAATAAATCGGTTGTTTAATCCTGCGAGAGGGCGGTCGCACACTATTGTCCTCATTTCGTCATATTATTTAGCTGCAACACAAGGGCTTACTTTGTTCATGTCGGCAGTTCCACCTCTGTTACGACCTCGCATCAGAGGCAGGTTGACTTTGACCCTCCTTGGTCCTTTCTGAAGTCAACCAACACTGCCAGAACGCATCGTGGTCCCAGATTGAAGTATCTTGTGAAAGAGTATTGTGTTTTTCATCTGTCTGAATTTTTTTATGTTCGCTTTACATTTATTAATTGTGTTTTTATAAAGATTGCAAAAAGAAATAAATGTTCTTCCAAACATTGCAGATCCTGAGACTGAGAAGTGCGACCAGTATACAGATTGCTACAGCTGCACTGCGAATACAAACAGCTGCCAGTGGTGTTCAGGCCAGTGTCTCTCTCTGGGAAGTAACTGTACTGCTGCCACGGTAAATAAAATTTCTTCTCTGCTGTTCACATAAAAGTCAGTGTTCAAAAAGCAATACACAATCTGAAATTCAGTCCTTTAGGAAGCCCTGCGGGAAGTGGATGCTGAAAGTAGAATATTTGTTTTAAGAGAAGATTGCAAGCTGAATAAAAATTGTACAGTTTTGTGGAAAAAATAAGGTAATTTTAAATTTTATGGCAGCAACACACCTGAAAATAATAGGGAAAGGTGTGATAAAATGCTGCAAAAGTAAGTGGTACAAATAAAACACAGCTGGAGGAGAATTTGCAGCTAATGAGGGCAGTTGGCAACAGGTTAATAAAAGAACTGGCTACGAAAAGAGAGAGGTTTAGAGAAGTGGAATCTCTCCAAAGTAAAGATGGGCATAACCTCTGCCCACCAGTCTGCAAAAAACTGCATCTAAAATCAGTGGAACAACTTCAGAATAATTTTTCCTCTCCTTAGAGGTGGGGCTGCTTGTTTTATAAAATATTGGTGGTTCTAGCTGTAATATAAAAGTAATTATTGATAAGGTAACCATGCTGTGGCTTCACCTGTCGCATTTTATTTTGAAGAAAGAAAAAGTAGCTTGCAAAGCTGTCGCACTGGTGCTACGTGATAAAAAAAAGAGTTGTCATCGTGTGTCTAATCACACACACATCTTTCTATCTTTGTGAGGACACCACACAGCGCTCACAGCCTCGCTCTGCACCGTCTATTTTTCCCCAAGTTTGGCGAGAGGTGGATATGGAGAGGTGCAAAAATAGCTCTCAACTTGATCTGGCCTTACTTAAATAAAAATGACTACATGCAGTGAAATTCTTGGAGGGGTGGGCCATCTTGGGGGCAGGGCTTGAATAATGGTAGGGGAAACGCTGGAGGTGTTGGTGCTAACCACTGAGTCGTTGTGCTGTTGTCTTCTTGAGGCTATGGCTGTGTCCAAAACGACAGGCCGGGTCCTCCGAAGGTCGAATTTGTCGGCTGCATACGTCACAGCGCCGTGACGAAGGACGTCCAAAACGGAAGACTCCTCCGATGCGGCCGACAAATACGTCCTTCTTTTTCCCCGAATCGAAGGACAGGTCCGATGGATCCTTCCCGGCCCAGCATATCCCATAATGCATTGCGGCCCGACCGGAGATTTTTTTAAGCTAGTAATGGCGGACGAAGCGAGAGAAAAGAATACATTTTAAATAAAAATATGGTGATTTAAAAATTAAAAAAAATTAGCGGTTGTAATTCTAATACTTTTATCATTTGTATRGACGTGTTTTTAAATATTATTTTTGTCATAAAAAACGCGAAATAAACATGAACCTACAGCGGGTCAATTAGTTCTTCAAATGATACCTTTAAGTTAATTTTATAGTTTTGTGATATTAATAATACTAATGTATTGATAATTTTCTAGTTTTGATTTAAGTTTGCTTGTTTAGCGTCGTCACAGTTGCTAGGTGACATGACGTACGCCGGGGTAAGGAGGGGAGGCTAGACCGTCCAAATTCACAGCCTCTTTTTTTCCGGTCTTCCCGGTCTACCAAGGACCCGGCCCGCCGAGACCGGGGAGTCTGGGTCCTCCGGAGGACCCGGCCTGTCGTTTTGGACACAGCATATAGCTTATTTAAATGGACCTGAGGCAAAGTGGAAAAAATGCTCTGTGGTCCGATGAATCAAAACTTTTAATTCTTCTTGGAAAACAAGGAGGCCACATCTTCAGTGCTAAAGAGGAGAGGGACAACCTATCCTGTTACCTGTGCACCGTTCAACAGGTTGCCTTGCTGATGGTATTGAGGTGCATAAGTGTCAATAGCGTAGGCAGCTTACAGATCAGTGCAGTAAAGTATATGCAGGTTTTAGAACATCATATGCTTCCATCCTTATAGCAAGTTTTTCAGGTGAGATCAAGCAAGACGATGTTAAACCTGATACTGCCCTCATTACAACAGCATGGCTTCTCAGTACAAGAGTCAGAGTGTTGAACTGGCCTGCTTGCAGTCCAGATCTTTCATCAACTGATTTATATTTAGTTCATCAGAAATGAAAAAAAAAAAAAAAAACATCCAGCAAATAAGACTGATGACTGTTGAACAGCTAGAACTCTACATCAGGCAAGAATAGGACATTTCCCTCCAAACACTCCAGCAGCTGGTCTCAGTTCCTACATGTTTACAGACTTTGTTTTAAAGAATAACTTTTTTACATTGTTTATCAGGTTGAGTTACCTCTGTGTTTTGAAAATTGCTATATGAATAAAGTGGAGATTTTGGAGATGTGCTGCTGCCATACAAGTCAAAAAGAATTCCCCCTCAAAAAATGCAACAACTAGTAGTTTAAACTGTTAATATGTTTAGTATGTTCCATTGTACAGAACATATTTTGTTATAAGAGTTTTTAATCAGTTCATTCTTTTTACATATTACACAATGTCCCAACCTTTTCAGAATTGGACTTGTATTTTTAAAGTGTAACTAACCYCTCCACTGACAAGGGACCATGACAGCTAGCTTAATTTGACAAGCTAGCATTTCTGAAAACAGGTCTAGTGTGCTCCAGATGCAAAAAACGTACTGAAAACAGCTTTTTATAAAAGTTACAC